CATAAATATTCGAAATATTTTGATGTATTCTTGGAATGTTTTTCTTTAAATTTTAGGAACATTTTATGAATATTTCCAAAATATTTAGTGTTAACTGCGAGTATACATTCCTAGTGAAAATTTTTCTTATAATTTTTATACAAATTCGAACATTTTTCAGAAAACATTTTTCAGAGAAATACTCAGAAATATTCGGAAAGTTCACATCTTTTCTCAGAAAAAAATGTAGATTTTTTGAGAAGTGTTCAAATTCGTATAAAAAATATGAGGAAGTTATAAAATTATACAGAAATTCTGAAAAATTGTATAAAAAATTCTGAGAAAAATGTTCACCAGAAATGCAACCATTATAACGAAATTTCAAGAGCAAATTTAACGGTCAACAATACACTAATACGTATAGATTGTCTGCAATACGATCATAGCAATGCGAGTAATTAATTGTCATTCCATCTTCATCATCATGATGAAAACATGACGGCAACAACAAACTTAATACAATTTAATTAAAAGGTTTCATTTCCTATATACTGACTTAACAATTAAAAGTATTACATTGCGTCTTACACAGCTACCAAGTATAAGATTAAGGTTTACGTAACATCTCTAAACATCTTTTCATTCTGTTTTCATGATTCTTTACCGCATGCACTGACAAGATACTATTGGTCCTGAGCAATTAATTATATCAATTCGGTCCCGGAGGTCTGGAGATAATCGAAGAACGATGACGTCATTATCTACGATTGATACAAATTAACATATTTGGATATAATTATATACATTAAATGTATATTAAATCCATGATTTTTGTTATTTAAGAGCAGCAAAAACACGTATGCGTTTTTTGTAAAAATATTGCCGCTAAATACCAACTTTTTTTCTCAACATTTATCATCTCTATTAATAATCAAACACAATATACCATTAAAATCACATTTTTAATTAAAAATTAATTATTATTGAATTTTAAACATATATATATATATATGTTTAATATATATATATAAAATAATAATTAATAAGATAATAATAAATTAAGATAATAAATCATAAAATTACTACTATATTATAAATTTCTTATTCTTAATCACTTAAATAACTTTAATAGTCACACAAATTTCCGTACGTAAGACACGTCTTCTATAAATAATCTCGTCGGTGTCGCACATTAATTCCTCGACGAGACAGTAATAATTTGTAATACAACTCAATTTGTTAGATCTATATGAATGTGATGAATTGTACTGCGTGCGCATATGTGTGTGTGTGTCTGCATGTCCGATATAAAAATCGTAGCACATGCTACGCACAAGGCAGTTGGAGCTTGGACTGCTTGGAGTAAGTTGGAGGCAGTGTCGACATAACGTAGTAATCGTGAGATAGTCAAACTATTTCATTCAGGATCGAAAAATGGACGCCGCAAAAAAAGTTAACAATCCAAATCCACGGATATCTGCAAATCCTATTAGCAAATTATTCTTCTGGTGAGAGTCGCTTTTACGTTACAGTTAATTGATCGGAATAAAAGATATGGATGTGCTACATAACTCATGAATATGTCGTTTAAATCGATCATTCTTGAATTATGGTCACAAATAACAAGAGCAACAATGACGCATACAATTACGGGAAGACGATCGATTTCTCTATGTCGCAATTCGCAGTGTCTGACACAGATTCAAGACTGGTGTTTTAAGATTCCTAATCATTTATTGATAGATATTATTTAAAAAAAATTTAAACCGTGTCACACACTCTGTGATCGGATGCCATCACAGAAGACTGCTCTATTTACGGCTATTATGTTCGATTTCGACACGCTGTAAGTTTCATTCTAAGAGCTTTTTAACAAGAGACACAGAGATGACACAGCGAATCATTACGTCCTTGTTGTTCACTAATGTTAAAGATGAAATGATCACTGTGTTACCCAGTAGACCTGTTCTTTTTAGCTGAACTTTTGCACCAGTTCATCTGTCTTCCTCTTCTTTCCTGCTGAGAGCAAAGGAAGAAAGATGAACAGGTACAAAAGCTCAGCCAAAAAGAACAGGCCTAGGTCCGTTTCCAACGCAGATCATCTTTAATCTCGGTTCAACTTACTCTTTGTCTTTTTTTAGTTCTAAAGATTAGAAAAAGACGAAGAGTAAGTTGAACCGAGATTAAAGTTAATCTATATTGGTGGAAATGGGCACTAGTGTCGCTTGTTGGATAGCTTCCTCTATTTTCCGTTTGCACGTAACGAGTGATAGATTGAAATAGCTATCAGTATGTGAGCGCTGAAATCGAATGAATATCTTCTTGTCTCAGATTGTATCATCAGAATAAACGAGGAATCGCATAATAAAAATTTTTGTAAGATATATTAAATGGAAATATTGTTCAATAAAAAAAATAATATTTGCAATCAATAAAATAGACTTTGAAAATATACTGAAACTTTTTTTTATTTCGGAAGTTAGTAAATAACATAGTATCTATATTTATCTAGACTTCAACGATCTAGATATACAGGGTGTCCCGTAAATTTTTGTCAATCGCTTTTGTGTAGAGCGCACTAAACTGAGTCGAAAAGCCCTCTATCATTTTGCAATTTTCGCAATAGTTAACAAGATACTAATTACTAAAAATTGCCGAATATTGTGTGGTTTTAATAATTTTTTACTCAAATACTATCAACTTTACAGAAAAACTGCAAGAGATAAAAAATATTTATTTTCTTCTCATAGAATTCTAAGAATTTTTTCAGAATTTTTTATTAACTTCTTAGTACTGCATTTTCTTATTTTTACCAACATAAGAAAATATAGTATTAAGAAATTCTGAAAAAATTTTCTCAGAACTTTATAAGAAGAAAATAAATAATTTTTGTCTCTTGCTGTTTTTCTGTAAAGTTGATAATATTTGAGTAAAAATTATTTAAAATCACAATATTTAGCGACTTTTAGTAATTAATAACTCGTTAACCATTGCGAAAATTGCAAAATGGTAGAGAACTTTTCGACTCAGTTTAGTCTACTCTATTTACACAAAAACGGTTGCTAAAAACTTACAGGACACCCTGTATATATTTACTAAATGTCGAGAAGTATGAAAATCATTCTTACTCAGTTATTAACCTTTTTAATAATTAATCCTTAATTAACTATTGATTAAAATGCATAAACGCTGAAACCTGGTTTTATGATATCAGTTGTCCACAAAACTGATGTATTTACTAGTGTTACAACTGTAAACGTTTTATCAAATCCGAAAACGATGTACATAGTACATGACAATTTGCATTAATTAATAATATATTATAATTAATAATATATTAAATAATTATTAAATCACTTTCAAACATCTTATCATTCAGCATTACTAGCTCATAAATTAAAATAATAACGCTAAGTTAGAAGCCTTAAAAAAATAAAAGCATGGAAATAAATCATACTTATTTCTGTGTATAATCTAGAAATAAATGTAATTTAATTATCTTCTTCGAAACAAAAATAAAGGAATTTTGAAATAGTACTGTGTATTAAATATTACGTGATACTTTTATTTATCACTTTCCATGATCTTATCTCAAGGTTCTTAATGATTTGACATTTAGCATCGTTTCATAATTTGGGTTATCAGAAACCTTAAGATAAGATCATGGAAAGTGATAAACATCAAATAAAAATATTAAATGCATTTTAAATAATAAAAGATTATTTATCTATTAAGTAATTACTAGATATTACTTTTTATATCTACGATAGGCAAATTACGTATATCTGATCCTAACCGAAATCAGCTCAGAA